CTGAGGTACATGAGATGGCATGGCCCTTTGAATGTAATCCGATTAACCTCGGGAATTCAAGTTAACACGCACATTAAGAGAAGTGGCACTATGAAATCAAGATTAGGAGACGAAGCCCACTCTGTCTCCGTCAGCCTTCAGCCTTCAAACAGCTGGAGGAACAACAGGACGGCAGCACTTCTGTAAACAAGCTAATCTTTTTAAAGCTAACAGGCAGTGACATTCTCATTTAAAATGTCAAACTTGGAAAAGACCAACTCACACTAGAAAAGCCTATCTTTCCCTTGCTCTTGCCCTGCACAAGTTCTTGGCTTTCTAATTGTTCCTCAGGTGGGACCACAGGACAACAGCCGCCTGGGCTGAGGACAGGCCATTTCCTGGCTTTTCTTCCTGCTTCTGACCTGAGCTCAATTCAAAGGAGAATAAACCAATTCTCATAACTGTAGCCAAAGGCAGGGCAAGCAACAGGACATGTAGACTCAGCAGATACACATGAAGATGGCAAAGGCGGCCACAGGGGTGGGGCAGGAGGAGGGGTTCTTGCCTAATGCAGAGTCCCATTGTTTGTAATAAGAAAGGGGGCAAATCAGTGCCAGGTATCAGCTGTCCAGATTATTGACACTGTAAGATCACTCCCTCAGTAAAGGAGCCTAGGGAGCAATAAACCCTACTTCCTCTCTATTACCCTTATGCCCATCTTTTCCCTTCCCTTCTCTACCAGGTCAGAATGTGGCCAAGAGAGAAAGCTCAGTGTCATTGGTGTATATTCCTGATACTCTAGGAACAAACCCAGGAAAGGATCCCTGATGTCTGCAGGATCTACGGGGTGAAAGGTCCTTAAGATTGGCAAAAATAGCAGAGTGGTTTCTGAATTTAGTATTTAGAGATTAACCAAACCAAAAATGCACAAGATCTGTAGGCAGAGAACTAAAACTCTAATAAATGACAAAGGTAGCCTAAATAAATGGAAAGCATTCTAAGCTCTTAGAGGAGATAAGTTAATATGAAAGTGTCGATATCCCCAAATTAAACAATACCGTTCAATGCAATTCCAATGAAAATTTTAAGTTTCTGAGGAACTTATCACATATATACCAGAATTTATATAGAAGGATAAAGTTCCACAAGTAGCTGAGACAACCCTTAAATGGAGAGTAAAGACAGGAGACTTAAACTACCAGATATGAAGACCAGCCCCAGAGCCATCATATTAAAACCAGAGAGGTCTGAGCACAAGAACAAATAAACCAAGGAGATAAAGATCTGAGAGACAGAGCTCAGATACGCAAACCTAATGTACAAGAAAGCTGGCACCAGAGGTCAAAGGGGGAAAGAATGGAGTTTCGTAGATGTTGGTAAAAAAACTGACTCCTCATATGGACAAAACAAAGCTGGATCTTCATGAAACATCATATATAACGATAGATATCAGATTAGAAGTCCAAATGTGAAAGATAAAAATCATGAAGCCAATAAAAGAAAATGTAGGAGCACATCTTGGTGACATGGGTCAGAAAGGCCTTCTTTAAAACATAACTTGAAAATCATAAACCAGAATGCAAAAAAAAAGAAGATGAATTTGAATATTAAAAGAGTAAGGCTTTATACTCAAGGGAGGATATCACATATAATATTAACAGATGGATGACAAGATAGGAAGAAATATTTAAAATGTCTACACCTAACAAGGGATTGATATCTAGAATACAGAAAGAACTTCACAAATCAACAAGAAAAATTGGTACCTGCCATGTAAAATGGGCAAAGAACATAACTAGGCAAAAAAAGAAAAAAGAAGAGGAAACCCAGTAAACAGGCAAATAAAGGGATGCTCAAGCTCATTAATTATCAGAGAAATGAGCTAAATAAACTAAAAAAACAATGAGCTATCATTGACAAAAAATTAGGTAGCTGAATAATGGCAAGAGCTGGCATGAATAGAGAAATCCTCAAGGAGTGTTGGTGGGACTGTGGAGCAACTGTTCTGGAGAAGGACATGAGAGTCCTCCCTAAAATTCTGTCTATGCACTCCCTTTAACAGACCAGAAATTCTCCCCATGCATATAACCCAAAGAAATGCCACACAGGGGACAGGTAAGAGATGTTGGTGTCGTTAGCAGTGATGAGTTGGAGGCATGAGGAGGTGGAGGGCATCTCTACAGAAACAGATGGACAGTGTCCTACACCATGGAGTGTGCAGCAGACAGAAGCCGGGCTCTAGAAGCAGACAGAGGACTATGGATGGCTCCTAAGACCATGCTGAGGGAGCAAAGTAAACTGAGCAAGACATATAGCCATTTGTGTCACTTAAAAACACAGGTAGATAAAACATATACACATTGTTGGAGAATACAGATTAAAAGAACACATTAGAATGGTGGCCTATAGGAGAGAAAAGGAATAGGAATTGAGAAAAGAATGAAAATGAGTGGAGGGCCCTGTGATGATAATGTGCCACCAATGGAGGAGTATGTTTAATTCAATCTCTCTATATCTAAGATCCAAATAGAGAATAAAAAGGAGAGGATAAAGACTCTGCACCTATATTTATCTGCTGCCATCCGCTCCCTGGCAACTGGGCTATTTGGAAAATACCAGCAGTTGACCGACATTATTTATGGCCATGCCCTGTACCCCATGGGTGCTGCAGGCCCTGAGAGAAATTTCAAAATGAAAGAAACAAATTCGGAAGTGTCCCAGAGAAATTTCCTTTTGCTACCTACCTGTTCCGGCTCTATGATAAAATGCTGGCATTCAAATTCCCACCAAAATATTTTCTAGAAAGAGAATGCTAGACATTTGAAGTTTGGTTACTGAAGGTAAAAAGAGCAATGCCTCACTCTTAAATTCATATCAGATTGACTTCCTAACTTTAAAATAATTTTCATTGTGGTATAGGCAGAAAAAGAGTTGCAGAATTCAGACCCTGGGCAAGGAGCACTGGGGGTGGGGGTGGGGTGAAAATGCAAATAACTGCAATGGTAGAATCAGCTGACAATGCTCACCAATGGAATCAGGGTCATCTTTCAAATCTATTAGTACTTATCTCAAGCAGAGAGAAGCAAGTTCTTAAGACCACAGTTACAAGGAAACTTCAGGTTGGGGGTCTCCATTCCTATGCCTCTGATCCCCCTCAATTCTTGGGTCCTTATAAGGAGTGTGTCTCAGGGATATGGTATGGGCATCTGTTACTTTGGCTTGCTTGTTAACTAGCCTCTCTTATCCTAGTGTGTTCCCTGATTTCCCTCTGGCAAACAACTCTGCTCCCGTTCTATGCAGAAACTGTCAATCAAGGTGTCTTGATTTCCCCTGGCTGGGCCCCAAGCTAGACCAACTTGATGCTACCTTCCCTGGGGAATCTGAATTCTCAGAAGAGTGAGGCAAGAACTAAAAACAGTTCAGAGTTGTATCATCCTGCAAATATCACCGAGGAGACCCTTTCTCATTAGTTCCTGGGTCTCCAGAGATGGAATGTCTTCAAGCCCGGTTCTTCAGTTCTTCCTACTTTACTGTGAGTTACCCTACAGCCTTCTATAGTCCTACGTGATTATTACCATTGTTTTTGCTATTGTTATTTTAGCGCAAGTTATCCAGAGTTTATTTCAAGCACTGTAAAACAATCCCACCTGATGAAGAGGGAAAGAAAAAATGACTTGTTTCCTTGAATACTTACTTGAAAAACTTTTTTCTTGTTCAATTATTGAGGGAAAAAGGAAAAAAACAAAGAAACATTGTTTCCTGTCCTAAAGGTCTCCATCTACCAAAAGCCACCATTCCAAATTACTTAATATCTCATATAAAACTCCTAGGAAAGCCCTGGCTGGTGTGGCTCAGTTGGTTGGAGCATTGTCCCATACACTGAAAGGTCATGGGTTTGATTCCCGGTCAGGCACATACCCAGGTTGTAGGTTCCATCCCCAGTAGGGATGCATATGGGAACAGGAGGCAACCAATCTCTCTCTCTCTCTCTCTCTCTCTCTCCCTCTCCCCTTTTCCTTCCTCTCTAAAATCAATAAAAACATTTTCTCAGGTGACGATTAAAAAACAAAACAAAAAATTCCTGGTACAATATGGTTTTTTTGAAAAAGTGAAAATCTCTGTCCTATAATGGATTTCACACACGTAAAATAGCTCATCCTTTTGTCCACATGGGCAGGCACTGTTTTTACTGATTTTTTCTGACATGACTGGAATTCATGGTAGGGCTACCTTTGAATTTTTTTTTCCCAAGTAAATTTGACAAAGCAAATCTGAGGAAAGGGGACAGAATTTCCTTTGTACTCTTGTAGCAACCTGGAAGGAATGTGTTTTTTCTCCTGCGCACCAAGGAGATAATCAGCCCAAACACCCTAGCAGCAGCAGTTTTGTTTTAATCCCCTTGTCTTTACAAGGCTGCAGGTGCCCTTGGAAATCATGATTAACCAGAGTACTCAGAGCCAGCAGTGGGGAGAATGTCCTGTATATTCTACGGAGGCTGCCCAGGGTCACTCTCATCAAAGAGGAATATTATTACAGAGCTCGCTGTCTCCACTCCTCCTCTCCAAAGAGGCAACAAAGAACACTAAGCAATCACTGAGATAGCTATTGCCTCTCCAGTCCTTTGAGCAAGACAGTGTGGGAGGCAAAGTCAATTCTGGCTTTCTCATAGGCAGGGTTCTTTGGGAGCTGAGTATGATTGGATTAAGTGACTTTTAAGTGATGATTGGAGCTACATTCTTAAGAGGACCTAGGATTAACTGAGATAACTAATGTACATGAAAATGTTCTGTATAGTGTGAAGGGTTATATAATGCAGTGTTGTTACAGTCCTGCCAGTCAGGCTCACTGAATGTCCTGGAGTCACAGATGTGTCAGGGTGGAAGCCTGTCAGGCTGCACTGGGGGGAATGGGGCAGACCCAACATGCCCACAGCACCTCCTGGTGGCTCTTCTCTGGAGTAGCAAATTCTCAAAGCCCAATCCCAACCCCAACCACAGAAAATTATCAGCCACAGTACTTACTTCCTTCATTCTGACTGTCTTTATTCGAGTTGTAGACCTGGAAAATAGAAATAAACATTTACTTGTGTGCATTTTATATCACCCTACAGGTTCACTGAAAAATACCAATACCTTCCCCCGTGCCCTAGTTTGGGCTATAAGATAGAAGGCATTTTCTAGCTAGCCCCTAAATATGAATCCCGTCTATAATTATCTAGTTCCCAGTATTTACTTCAATTGTTCTTAAGTGGTTGTACATTAGAATCATCTGTGGAACTTTATTGTTTAAAAAATCATATTCTTTAAAAAAACAACCTATGTGTGTATATAAAACTAAAAAGGAGAAAACATTTAAAATTATTTATAAATCATTAAGCATTAACTGTGCACTAGGCAATGTGGTAAGCAATTCACATGAATTACCTCAAATTATCCACAAAACAATCCTGTTGGGGAGGAACTGTTATTACCACTGTTTTACAAATGGAGAATTGAGAGTTAGAGACGTTAACTAAGGCCTCACAGCTAGTAAGTGGCAAATTCATGACAAAGATACATTACAAACCATTCAGTGTTAACACTGGGGAAAGGGACCAATCATTTTTTTACCTTACAGGCTTTTGTAAATTTGAATTTTATAAGGAGAATATATTACTTTTACAATAGAAACCCCTAAACGACTTACAGGAATCATGAAAGGGAAAGTGCCCCACATAAAACAGACAGTGACATATTGCAAGATTCGGGAAGTTTTTTTGTAAAGGACCAGACAGAATTAAATATTGTAGGCTTTGTGGGCCAGGAGGCAAAATAAATGATATTATGTAGGTAGTTGTGTACCAAGAGAGAAAACAAACTCCCACAAATTTCTTTGTTGATAAAATTCAAAATATAATTTTTTTTTCAAAATAGAAGTATAACATTCCTAGCAAGTAAACATCCCTTTTAGGCAGTGGTTCTCAACCTTCTGGCCCTTTAAATATAGTTCCTCATGTTGTGACCGAACCATAAAATTATTTTCATTGCTACTTCATAACTGTAATGTTGCTACTGTTATGAATCGTAATGTAAATATCTGATATGCAAGATGGTCTTAGGCGACCCCTGTGAAAGGGTCATTCGACCGCCAAAGGGGTCACGACCCACAGGATGAGAACCGCTGCTTTTAGGGTTTCATGGCTCGCTTTTCATGGCTCAGTTCCTCTAAGAGTTAAACAAATGATTCTCAAGTAAGAGTGGCCATCAGACTCACTTGGAATATGTTGTTGTTCTTTTTTAGGTTTTGATGGCCAGCTTCCCCCTATGATTTTTCACACCTACAGATCATAATCACCAGATTTGGGCACTATGATATTTTTCTAAAGCATGGGCTTTATCTTATGTAATAAATGTCAGCATGTCATGTATTGGCAAACTATGGCCCACAGGCCAAATCCAGCTCACCACCTGCTTTCGTATAGCCCATGAGCTACCCCTGGTAACTACAGATGAACATTTGCAATTGATTTGATGATAGGAAACTTTGAACCTTAATTAAGCGAAGTGTTATCCTCCCTCTAAAAATACTCCATTCTTCTGACTAGTAGACCAGTATTTCAAAGACTTCAACTCTTTGGGAAAGATATTCTTTCTGTACCGGGATAACATGGTTGCCCAGTCTCCCTCAGCAGTACCTCCACCATCAATATAAGTGAAGAATTTAGACTAGATCATGCTTTCCAAATTGAACCCCACAGCCCCTGCAGTAGGACTACCAGAAGGGTGGGAGAGAAGCTAAGACTCTAAGTATCCAAATGTCCTCCTTCCCTCGCTTTATTCATGTGACTATCAAATAAGGGGATACTGTCTTGAAAAGTTTAAAGACCTCTTGAATGGATAATTTCTAAAGTTACTTGCAATTCATTAATTTGCTTATTCATTCATGCATCTAACAAGTATTTATTATGTGCTTATAATGGCCAGGCAGTGTTGTAGATGCTAGGGGTACAGATGAACATAACAGCTATAACCTCTGCTTCCTGGAACTAGCCTTTAGGGAACTAAACAGAAATAAACAGAGACACAAATATGATATTCAAATATTGATAAGTACAGTCGAGGAAATAAAAGACTACTGCGAACCTGAGGTGGGGAAAGGGTGACATTTGCACGAGACCTGAATGATGAGAGGACCTCCTTGGAAAGACCTGGGGGCCAGTGCCAACAGCAAGTGCAGGTCTTGCGATGGGAAAGGCATGGTCTTTTGGAGCGAGGAAGGCCAGTATGGTCAGCAATCAGTGTAAGGTAGGAACTAAGGATGGGCAGAGGGGCAGTGATGCAATCTTACAGGGCCTTGTGACCTGTTAGGGAAATGAGAGGCCTCGTAATAGCTGGGACCAGCGATCCATGGTGAATGGCGCTCACTAACCTTGGGAAGTTGGGTAAGAAAAGTGCAGAGAAAGAGACCATATTTTGGCAAGTTATTTTTTTTCCCCAGCCATCCCTCCCATTAAATTCAAACATTTTATCCCAGAGACACTTGCCCCTGTTTATAAATAACAAAATCCAGAAGAAATAGCAAAATGCAAGGCTTTCAGCTTTCCTTAATTAGGAGGTGAGTTTGCACCAAACAGGTTTCCTGGTCTCAGGAGACCACTGTCTGGAACAACCAAGCACTCCCCAAATTGGAGAGGTGTGATCAATGAGCCAAAGGCACCAGAAACATGTGCTGCCTGATCCTCTGAGGCCAGGCCATTAATCTCTGTCTAGTTTGGTAAATGAGCCAAAGAGAATGAGTTCTGAAATGAAGCTAATAAACCGTGCCCGCCAGGAGTGTGTGACTACATGGCCCAACCAGGAAGGCCCGGGGTCTAACAGTGATGGCGAACCTTTTGAGCTCGGCGTGTCAGCATTTTGAAAAACCCTGACTTAACTCTGGTGCCGTGTCACATATAGAAATTTTTTGATATTTGCAACCATAGTAAAACAAAGATTTATATTTTTGATATTTATTTTATATATTTAAATGCCATTTAACAAAGAAAAATCAACCAAAAAAATGAGTTCGCGTGTCACCTCTGACACGCGTGTCACAGGTTCGCCATCACTGGTCTAGGAGGAGCCTTGCCGCCACAAAGGACAGATAGTGCCAAGGTAAGAGCGTTGTATCCTCTTATCTCAAGGAAAGTGAGGAGGGTAAGGAAAGCTTTCACATGCTTCCTCTGCACTAAGAAAACTAACAGCATTAACAGAGAATGTCTTTATTACTCAACATTTACCAAGTACCCACATGACATCATCCTTGAAACCACCTTATGGGTTAGGTACTAGTGTTATTCCCAGTCTATAGATGTGGACCCTGAGGCCCAGAGAGGTTATACTGTTTGTCCAAGTACACAGAGCTGGGAGGTGGCATACTATTCTATCTTGCCCCTACAGGGATACTCCAGTCTTCTTTTAATTTCCAGGCAGTTGCAAATGCACACAACTACCAAGCCACCCCAGGGGTCTGTGGTTCATAAATACCTTCCATACTGGCAGAGGCAAAGGGTATGCAATTTACCTTTAGAAATAGTCAGTCTATTCTGGGAAAATCTTCTTCTATAGAAAATCAGTTGCCCACTAGTCTCAGACTGAAGTTCAAAGGCAAGGGCACTTTCCTAAAATGAAAGGTCTCTAGCAGTGGCTCCTGGCTCATGATTAGCAGAGCTATCTCAGATTATATACTTTCAAGTAAGCATCTCCAGACCCTTTGTTTTAAAAGGACACACCCAATTCTATAGGATCAATTCAAGGGGCCATGAATCACTAAACAAGCCTGAATATGGCTCCTAGGAAGACTGATCACTTAATACATTTTCTCAACAACCCAACAGAAGCTATAGTCTATCTGTCCTGACTAGCCAGAGTACTCTGAGACCTGGCCACACTAAAGTTTCTTAGCCTTCTATCTTTATACACTTTGATGTAGGTATGATCTAGCTTCTGCTGAACATCAAGATTTATTAAATATCCAGGCCAATGCATGTTTGTTTTCAAGTGGGTGCTTCTAGAGAATAGAAGCATGTTCACCTTATCAGGATCCATATGAGTGTCATTATGTTATAATTGCAACAGTAATAGTAAATTAATAAAAATGATGACAAGCGCCTAGTTATATATCAGACACCATGCCAAGTGCTCTATATATACTATCTTGTACAGTCCTCACACCAACCTAATAATTCCCATCATATAGATGAGCAAACTGAGGCATTAGAGAGGTTAGGTCACTTGACCAAGCTTAGACAGCTGGAAGTGGCCAGAATCCAGACAGGAACTCCTACAGTCTGTCTCCAGAGCCCAAGTTCTTAACCGCTAACCACATGATAAGTAAGACATTGTGGATGATGATGATGATGATGATGATGACAACGACAACGACGATGACAATGACGACAACAAAGGTAATGAGACGTTCTGGGCAGCTAGGGAAGGTGAGTCACTGGAGGAAAGAATCTGCCAAGAGTAAGAGGAAATGAAACTGGGAACGGCCTTCCGATTCCAGCCTGAAGCGATCACTACTAACCTATGCAACAAGCTGGCACCTAACATAGAAGGAACACTTCATGTTCTCTCTGAACCACAGGGCTTGATCCTGAAGATAAACACCAGGCAGGAAAGTCGGTCTTTGATACAAATCACAGGGCACAGCAATTCTATGAGTCCTCACCCAGAAGCTACAATGGGAGCGCAATTTAATAAATCAAAGGAGGGTGAGGAAAGCCTTCATATGCTTCCTCTGCACTAAAATGTGATTTGCAATAAATTCTGTTCACTGCTGAGTCAATTCAATTTATATGTCCCTAGAGAATTAAGAGAGACTACAGAATCATTGGATTCCCAGAATTTTTTAATGGGTAACCTTTATGACAATTACCCAGGCCTTAGTGATAAAGCACAAAGAAGAATTTCTTTTAACTTATAAATTAAAGGCACAAATAAAGCAATAATTAGACAAAACAATCTCACTTTTCCCCTCTAGTACACAGCTGCATAAATACTTGAATCAAAATCTGCACAAAATGAAGGTGTTGGAGA